CCTCTCAAAGGCCACGTCTCATCTGACCAAATGCATGTCCACCCCCCCGCCCCGGGTCTCGGGCACGTGACAGGCAGTGACAGGCAACAGCTCTGCAGTGAAGGGAAAGCAAATAACGATGGACCTAACGAATATGAGCATAAATTAATAGTCATAGGTCTCGTAAGGAAAATAAAACGCAACAGGGCTTGAGAGGGAAGAGTTCGCACTGGAGGGGTGGGGACAGCTTCCAGAAGCAAAAGGGTTTTGAGCCGAGTGTGAAATTCACAGAAGGGCGGGAGGGCAGGGGCGGAGCATTGGGGTGGGGGATGGGGCAGCTGACGGTTCCAGGTGGAGCAGGAGCAAAACCACTGAGATCGGATGGCGTGATCCGGCTGCCAGAAAGTGGGGAGAGGCTGAGGCTGGAGGCTAGAGAGGCTGGAGGCTGGAAAGGCCGCTCACGCATCCCACCCGGCTGCGGCATGCTCGCCCCGTGCTCTGGGCAGGAGGTCGGAAACAAACCAACCTCAGAAATGTGAGTTTGCTGCAAGCCCTAACAAAGAGGCACGTGCTTTTGAAAAGGGGTGAAAAAGATAGAAGTATTCACACGAGGCAGAACGGTCTTCGAAGGATAGTGTCCTCTACCCAAGACAGGTGGGCCGGAGAACAAGGCCAGTGGGTGTTATCGAGAGATGGACAAAGCCATTGGTTCAGGTCAGTCATTTATTTCCAAGGAAACAAACCCGTGGGGAGACTAGGACTTCCTAGAGCTTGAGCCTTTGACTTCCAAGACTGAGGGGTCGGGGAGCGGGGTAGCGGCGGCGTAACAGAGGGTCGGGGACCCTCAGGAGCCCAACATGCTAGTGCTTTCTCAGGTACGGGCCCACACCTGGAGAGAGAATTAAGACAGGGGCTCCAGATGGGATTGAGAATGGCTCCCAGCCATGATGCCAGCTCAGTTCTCTCTCAGACCAAAGTCTGAGTAGTCAGCTCTAGTACCCAGTCCAAATGGCCTAAGGATGACGAATTCCTAAAGCAAGAGCTAGAGAGATTTCTAAGGAAACTTCTAAGAATGGAAGCCTGACCTCATTTACCTATCAGTACAGACCAGGGCCAACAAATAAGGAAATTTTGGGATATGTACTGAATCACTATGTCACTTAAGAGCATTTATCTTTTTTCGGTAATTCCATGTGACCTTGAAATTATTAACAATGAAATCCTTGAATACAAAGATGTTGCATTTTTGCTTTAAAGAATCAGCAAGAATGGGGATATGACAGGCACTGCTCCTGAGACCTCTGTTTCCAGAACTGTGGTCCACCATCTACTTCTGCATCGGAATCACCTGGCTGCCCCAAAAGGGCATCATAATCTGAGTGAGGGGTTTAGAATAAGACTTTCTGTCAAGGGCCTCAGGGAAATCTTCGGCAAACTAAATTTTAAAACGACTCCTTTAATTTTGTGGACAAGGGATGCAGTGGGGGAGAAAGGAAGCAACAACGAATTGAAGGGAAAAATCGAGAAAATCTCGTGAAGGTTAATTTTCTATGTCAGTTTGGCTGGGCCATGGGGCCTAGATAGCTGGTCAAAGATTTTTCTGGATGTGTCCGTGAGGATGTTTTTGGATGAGATTTGCATTCAAATTCGTGGACTTTGAATAAAACAGATTGCCCTCCATAATAAGGGTGGGCCTCGTCTAATCAATTGAAAGCCTGAATAGAAAAAAAGACTGACCTCCCTCAAACAAGAGGGAATTCTCCCAGCAGACAGCCTTTGTACTTAAACTGCGACTCTCCTGAGTTGTCAGCCTGCCAGCCTCTCCCCCATCAAATTCTGGACTCACTGAGACTCCACAATGAGTGGATCCACAATGAGCCAATTCCTTAAAATAAATCTAGATAGATGATAGATAGATAGATAGATAGATAGATAGATAGATAGATAGACAGACAGACAGACAGACAGAGGGAGAGGGAGAGAGAGAAAAAGAGACAGACAGACAGAGAAAGAGAGCTCTCCTATTGGTCTTGTTTCTCTGAAGAATCCTGACTAATCCTGACTAATCTCTTGCTCTTAAGAGACAGGGTCCTTGAAACCTAATTGGATCTAAAGAAGGCTGAAAGCCCACACCAGCAAAGAGCCTTGTGTTACTCCCTGACATTCATCTTTAATCTAATGAAGGAATCATCAAATGGACAGGACCCATTTGTCACCAACCTTGGTGACAAAGTTCAAAGAGAAGTAGTGGCCAACGGTCGAATTTGTTATAAGGAAAAGAAAAGATCAGAATCAACCCTTGTAACAAACGCAGTTTCCAAAAAGAGAGAGCTCCTTACGATGCTATAATAAACACTTTAAAAGATCTTCCCAGTGTGGCGCCATAGCTAAGAACGGCAAGCTTAAGCTTTATCGCGAACCACCCATCAGCTTGGAGCTGTGAAATATCCTCTAGCCAAAGTGCATCTGATGGAAAAGAAATGAGTTCCATTACCAAATGAGAGTAGTGTGGAAATAACAGAATTGCTTTTATTTTGATGGACGATCTAATTAAAAGATATAAAAATGATTAGAAACGATACAATTAAACTACCACATATAGATCTTTTTGTTTTGTACTATGGAGTAGATTCTCAAACTGAGTGGATGGTTGGACTAGATAACTTCTAATTTTAGGAAAGAGTAAAAGAAACAAACTTGACAATAACAGTCTTTTAATTTTGGCAAACTATTCCTAAATCATGACAACAGTCACAAAAAGCCAAGTAGACACACAAAAAAAGATGATCTGCTTTTCCATTCTCACTCCTGCCATGGGTAGGTCAACTCCCGCCATCTTTCTGTGAACTGGAAGACTGTCGGCTTCCAGACATTTCTCTCCAAGATAACAGTGTGGTGGGTGTATGAGTGGACGTGGCACCGTCAGCCTAATCATTCGCTTAGAGTCACCGGGGGTAGTTACGATGGCTCAGATAAGATGACCGGCCACAATTGCCTTAAATTCACTGAAGGTGAATGTGGGCTTTACAGAATCAACAACAGCAGAAGCTCGATACTCTAGAAGCAGCTCGCGTGGAGCTGGGACATGGCGGCAGAGGGAGGAGGTGTCCCCTTGCGGAGGGACACTCAGATTTCTTTAAAGGAGCTGGCGCCCATAATGAAGATGTGCTTCCTCTGCAATGACCTGCTAAAATTAGCATGGATTCCTCACTAAGGCTCCTGAGTCACAAAGCGTTTTGGCAAGGTTTGCCAGGTTACCTGCCAGGCGCTAAATACTTCTGCAGCCTTTTCAATGAGTCAATTCTAAACCAGCAGGCAGAGCTTTTAGCTAGAGCTTTCACGCTGACGAGACCCACGTGAGGGCTGCATGACAGCAACGTGCACTTTTTAAGATCATACGGTCACCACTGTATGGATGAAAAATTTCCCCAGGAAGGTCATACATTATAAGAGGAAGCTCAAAAGGAATCTTAACCACCAAAATTCTGAGAACAGTCCTCTGTTCCCTGTTGATGACACTTCTCGTTCACCGATGTGATCTTCTGGAGGGCTGATCAGGGCTCAGAACTGTTCGCTGGGAATAGTCAGAGTGACTGTGGGGAAGACCAGTGTGTCCCCACTTTGCAGCAACACCGGGAAGTCTGACGCCCTTCTGCTGGTTCCACGTCTTTTCTCAAGTAATTGTACCCCCCGTCTTGACTGGCACAGAAGACACTCAGTATCCTTCTTTTTATTCCATAAAATAAGTTGATAAATGAACCTTCCCCTCAAGAAAGAGGAGAGATGGATTCAAGTTGGCCAAGACGGAGGGAAACAGGGTCCCTGGGGTAGGCTTGGCTCAGTACTAGAAACCTCACGTGCCACCTCCTGCCTTTGCGTCAGGGACTCTCCCGTTCCTCAGGGACTTCATTTTGGCATCGGTTGTATTTGTGTTCTCTTTCAAAGATTCAGCAGAGATCATTATTCCCGCTTTCTCACGTTCTGACCACATTCTGTCCCCCACAAAAGATCTCTTACAGAAAGTGCTACATGTAAGCCACCGCAATATTCCACCTAAAACACCAAAAGCACAGGTTTTCCAAGATGGCTTGAGCAGTGTCTTCCGACGTCCCTTTTGTCAGTCACCCCCATGCCTTCCACTTGTCCCAGGGCACACCGCTGTTCCTGAATGAGCTGACACGGCCGTGAGGAGGCATCACCACAGAAAACCTAGCGGCGCTACCCTCACGGCTGGCCTGACACAGACCACGCTCTTTTTCCATTGAGGGACCCGCCTGCCCTTAACACGAACTCCAACGGAAATGGATGCAGAACTGGAGAGAGGCAGACGGAGGAAAGGAGACCAGAGATGGAAGTAGCAACTGGTAAGAGGAACAGATGTGCCTCAAGGGAACAGGTGCCCGGTGCCACGCTCTCAGCATGCTTGGGTGGGGCCTGGAGTCCATCTGCCAACGCTTTCAGGGAGCCCTATGCTGACGGCGATGGGCCTCAGTGGCTGCTACAGTCCCCGGCTGGTCTGACTCCTGGACCCCATCACTAACCAAAAACCTCCACTCAGCCCCTTGGGGCTCCACGCCCCAAACCCTGTGACCTGAGCTACAGGCCTGGGTCTTCCGTAGCGTTGATGACGCCGGTCCACAAAGGTCAAAAAATAGTAGCGGCCTCTCATCTCCGCCTCTTCCCCGCTCCTTCTCCGGAGCTATTATCAGCGCTAGGGAAATGCAGAGTCCAAGGAGGAAATTATGTGGTAACTAGGAAGCGAATGACTCTGTGCTTACCTTTTCTTTCTTCCGTTGCTCTTGATTCTGCTACCAGCCAGGATGACTGCTTCTCCCCAGATCTTTACTTCATACCAAAGCAAGAAGGTCTAACACTGCACAGATTTATCATTATTACTTTAAAAATTGGATGGAGACTTATCGTTGCATACTAACATATAATCGGAACCAGAAATGTGGGAGACTTTTTACAGTACGTTTATATGAACATACATTTGTTAAATCGTCCTGCCGTTCCCTTACCTCTGATGGCTTCGTGGTGCATCTTCCTCTTCCTGAACACTCCACGTCACTGGCATGGCTCGCTCCCGGCACGCAGGTGCTGGCCTTCACCACCACGGTCAAGCGCAAAGCCACGATCGATTTAGTGACAGAATCATTCACGAAACCTAAAAGAAAATGGGACAGTCGGAAATGTAAAGTCAGGTTTTTTACCAACATTCTTTTCACAAGGCGACGAATTTAGTGGACATGGCGCTGAAGTCTGGCAAACGAAACGAAAACAGGAGATTAAGCAAAGGGAGAAAGCGCACGCAGAGGCATCTGGATGTCAGGCCTCTGAGCCATCGCGAGAACCGCCTGAGGCCGAGGAGAAGGAGCTCCGGGCACCTCGGTCATCACCTCCGACCCCTACGTTCCTGCCCTTGCCCTTTGTCAAGTCCATCCCTTCTCTACCATCTCAGAATTCAACGTCTCTGATTTGAATCCATCTTCTCCCAGGGAGCCACCTGCCTGCATCTTCCAATTCTTCTTCCTCTTGGCTACTTGGAGTGGTCACAAGCACTAAATATCCCCCAAGGCCAGCCCCGGCTACCTGCCTGCCCGAGCAGCTCTCCGTGCCTTCGCAGGCGGGCATGCAGGATGGGGCCACACTGTGTGTTGGGTTTATCAGCGATTATCACCAATCTGACTGTACGGCACCAACTGAAGTTACGTGGTTCTAACCATCTAATAAAACAACCAGTCGTAGTTGAATATTGCTCGCAACATGATGTGTCACGCTTATCACCGAATGATCTTGATGTCTAGTGCAGCCATTTGTACACGGTAGATAGCAATAAATATGGAATAAATATAGTTGCCAACTGGAACGAAGAAATAAAAACTGTGTTTCACATCAGTGATACAATTAATTCACTAAGAAAGTGTCTCTTTCTAATAAGAAAATTCATTTATTTAAGTGTAATTTTTTTCATTTCAAAATAAAAACTGTGTTTCACATCAGTGATACAATTATTTCACTAAGTGTCTCTAATAAGAAAATTCATTTATTTATGTGTAATTTTTTTCATTTCGAAATTAACAACTTATAACTAACACCCCATCATCCAGGAGAACGACCCCTTTATCACCCATAAACGGCACTCAAGACAAGGTGGCGAAATGATCCCAGGCAAGCACGCCTCCCTGAACCCCTGTTTTCTCATGCATTAAGTAATGATAATAACCCCAAAACAGGGTGGCCATAGAATGCATCACCAATACTGGGACTCTTTTCAGATCAAAACAGGGTGCCTTTTGTGAGTACAACTGAACACAGGCACGAAGTGAGACTGTCTCATGCAGTGGAACAGTGTGGTCACCCTTCTGAGAAATATCCAGAGACCAGTCATCTGCAAAGTCCCACATCAGCGCTAGACCATTTTAATAGGCAGAAGACGGCTTCAACACAGCAGCAAAATCTTTAATTCAATGCACAAGCATCAAGGTGACGACAGGACTTTGATGCGAGTCAGAGTGGAGCGGAGACATGCCTCGCCTTCCAGCTGGGAGGGAGGAGACCGGAGTCCCTTGGTGTCTGGGCGAAGACAGGAGTTGCCCGTCTGGCACGGAGTGGCATTTTACAGCCGCAGACACTAGTTGCTCTCTTCCTAGGATTTCCTATTGAAATCTTTAAGGTAAATTGGCTTTGGGACAGAAGGACAGTTTAAGCAGAAACGCCCCCTCTGTAGAGCTCCCTCATGCCCCACCCTCATGACATAGACACCTCACACTTCCCCCCAGCCGCCTTCACACACCTTCTCACTCCAACTCCGTCACGTTTCCATGACACCCCCGTTGCCTGGAAGACTCCTTTCTCCCACCTCACGGCTCAACTCTCACCTTATTCATGAGTCCCAGCCCCCTCTGAGCTCTAGCATGTCCATCTATGCTCCGGTTATGCTGTCCTTTTCTCCCACCTCACGGCTCAACTCTCACCTTATTCGTGAGCCTCTCCCCAGAGTCCCAGCCCCCTCCGAGCTCTAGCATGTCCACCTATGCTCCGGTTATGCTGTCCCGTACAGGTCCCCGATTAGTTTATGTCTCAGATGGCTTCTTGTCATCCCACCTCTACTGAAGCTTCCGTGATGGGAAGGATACCTCTTAGAGAAGTGGCAAATAGAGAGACAGGTACATATGTGACCAGAGCAGCAAAGCCAATTCCCAAAGAGGAGTTTGCAGAACGTCTTGTCATCCAGCATGTCTACTTTGAAGAGTGGCAATTACGTGGATGCATAAATTCCAGCCTACTAAAGAAATAATTGCTTACTGATGCATGATTAGCCTTGATAATGGAGAAATCGAGCCTGGTACATTATTGGGATGTTACCTGAGTTCTTATTCTGAAAGACATCTTCACACATAAAATAATAGAGGTAAATCAGATATCAGTAATTATAAAGGTGTTTTTCATACCCTCGCTTTGTTCTCTACTTTCGCATGAAATTATAGCCTTATTTGCATAATAGGACTGAGGGTTTCGACCCTAAAATCCTTTAGTAAACTATTAAAGAAATCAAACTTTGCAACGGTGTGTCACACATTACTCCACAATTCCTAATTATGCCACCTAACCTCCCCCCACCCCGAAGAGAGACAACGGGATAAGCATGTTATTTTCAGCAATATACCATTCACACAATGGAGACCGAGCCTGGCGGCTCCGTCCACTCAGAGTGTAATTTCAGTAAGTTGTTTGCGCCTCCCTCTGATCACGTCTGAGGGAGAAGGTTCGGCACGGAAGCATGATGCTGTCCTGCCTTTCATCAGTCTGCAGCTGGGCTAGAGCCAGGTCATCCTTGGGAAACCCCACCCGCCCAGAGTAGGAACTGTGCCCTTGACGAGGGGGCAGCAGGAAGAATTGGAAATGAAACAGAATTCATCTTTTACAAAAGAAGTCCTTTGGGGCTTTCTAAGTGGTCCTCTGAGAGCTGTGGAAAAGCCAGTGTGATTTCTTTGACACGGTGCTCAAAGAGACGGACGTTTATAACACACTTATAAGAAATACAGAGCAAATAGTCCCTACTGTTCTCTCCCCTAATGGCATGAAATCAATCTGTACAACGTAATTCCTGATACCAACTGGGGCAGAAAAGTTTGCCCTTGTCTTTAGAACGCTAAGATCCCCAGGCCAACTGAGCAACTGGAGACGAAAGCTAATCGAGAAGGAGTAAGGGTTACACTCCGGTCCTGTTTACGGGGGTGTTTTAGATTGTTTAGTCGAAACCTTCAGACCGTCGACACCTGCATTTTCTGTGGTCTTTTCGAAAACCAAAGAACTGCTGCCACACTGGAGCCTATGACGTTGCTCCAACTACGAGCTGATTGAAAATCACAGCCGGAAACGGATAAAAAGAAAAGAGGAGGTTTATAAAAGCAAGGAGAGAAAAAAAAAAGGGAAGGAGGAAGAGAAGAAAGAAGACTCTGCAGGGGAAACGGAAAACCACATCGAGGGACAGAAACTGCAGGAGACACAGGAAAAGAGAAACGTTCACACAGAAAACCCGGCAAAGCGGAAATGGGGGCAAGGAAAGGAAGGTCCGTCCGAAGCTCCAGGGGTTCTCATACCCTCTGCTACAACACGTTATCGTCTTCTCATTTTCAGGGCCCTATCCTCCCGTTCCAAGCACAACAAATGTAAAATTAGAGTTCTGTGAAATTTTGCACGAAGAAACACATTTGTTTCGATCATAACGGTGGGCAGTCCACACCGGCGATTCTGACCAGGAGGCTGAAATCCTGAGTCGCCCTACATGGACAGACCACGCAATTCCAGGTGAGTAAACTGGTGCTGCGGGCTGGGCCGGGGAGCAGTCCAGGGTGGAGGGAAAGTCGAGCTCATTCAGTCGACGTTCGGCAGGTGTTTATTGAGCTCCAAGCAGGAGGCAGCATTTAGGTTGAGCTCTGAAGGCTGAGAACGAGCCAGCGAAAGGGCAGAGGAGGTCAGTGTGTCAGCTGGGTGGGGAGGTCAGCGTGTCAGCTGGGTGAGGAGGTCAGCGTGTCAGTGGCCCGCACTTTGACGGAGACAGAGAGGCAGGAAGGGCCCGATCGCCGAGGTCTCGTGAACCTGGGTAAAGACGTAGATTCCCGGCCAAGTGTGACGGTAACCCCCTGAAATGCTTCGTGCAGGAGAATAACACATGGCTTATGCTTCTTCAAGGATCACATTTCGGTGGATGAACCAAAACAACTTTCATACAGATTGGATGTAGGATATGAGGGAAAGGAAGAAATCATTCACAGGTTGTGTAAGCCAGGGGTCCCCAGCCCGCCCCCCCGGCCAGGGACTGGTCTGTGGCCTGTTAGGAACCGGGCCGCACAGCAGGAGGTGAGCGGCGGGCCAGTGAGCAAAGCTTCGTCTGGATTTGCAGCCGCTCCCCAGCGCCAGCATCACCACCTCAGCTCCGCCTCAGATCCTCAGGCGTTAGGTTCTCATAGGAGCACCGGTCCCTGGTGCCAAAAATTTGGGGACCACTGGTGTAAGCAACTCTGTGGTGATGGTGGTAGGCCAGTGAATCAAGATTTTTACTGTGAACATATGAAATTTGAGACACTGATGAGACACTCAAAAGGAGCGGTCAAGCTGGTGGCCAGACATAGGTCACGGGTAGTTATGAATGTCAAGGCTGAAGATTTAGATCTGGGCCTCGTTTAAAAATGGACAGTATTGTCATTGCGACAGGAAAAGTGAACTAGGAAGAGAAGACATAGAGAACATGGCTTTACAGGACAATATTCATGTTATAAACTTAGTTGTGCATAGTTATCAGACCATGATGGAATCATCTAGAAAATAAAAATTAAAGACAGTAAGTAGAGTGGTGGTTGCCAGGGGCTGGGCAAGGGAGGAATGGGGAGTCATTGGGTGCAGAGTCTCAGTTCTGCAGGACGCAGAGCATTCTGGGGCTGGATGGTGGTGGTGGTGGTGGCCCAGCAGCACTGTGAATGAACTCGACACCACTGAACTGCACACTTAACCATGGTCAACTTCGTGCATTTTGTTATGCGTAGTTCATCACAATAAAGAAAAACTAAAGGAAAAAATAACCAAAAAAGAAACAACTATGTGATTTTTCCACCATGGGAGTGATAAGAAAAGATAAGATTTCTGGGGTCCGTGACAAAAGAA